AAATTAAGATATATCCCTTGAATTTTGTCCATTTGCAATTGATTTCTTATGGTTATTTGGATTCTCAGCCCTTTCAAACTATATTGCCTATGAGGTATTAGATAACTGTCTTGAGTGGAGAAAGCAATCGTTCTGTTTAATGGCAAACAGTAAATATGAGTATGTGAAGTCATTTGAGGTTGAAGATGAGGTATGTTTCCTAATCTGATTGTTGTTTGGATGAATGGTCGTGGCTTTGAAAGGCTCTCCAAAATTCATGATTTTGAGAAACCATGAGATGAAAAGGCTCTGCAATTGATGAACTCCTGTGCTGTTTCAGTGCTTCAAGAGTATGCAGACATTGTTCTGGCATATGGATTCATTGATGAATTCAGCTTTGTCTTCACGAAGAGCTCCAAATTCTATGAAAGGCGAGCTAGTAAAGTTTTATCCATAATCACATCTTCTTTGCCTCTGTGCATGTAAGAAAGTGGAGTGAATCCTTCCCGCAACAAGAATTAAAGTACCCTCCTTCCTTCCATGGAAGGGTTATAAGTTGTGCATCTATCGAAGTCCTTCAAGCATACCTTTTTTGGAGGAAAAATATCTGTCACGTTAAGAATCAATATGATCAATGCATTTGGCATCTTGTTAAACGAGGAATGACTGAAAGGGAGGCACAAAATTTTCTGGAGGGTACTGAGAAACATGACAAAAATGATCTTTTGCTTGATGAGTTCAATCTCAACTATACCACCCTTGAGCCTATATTTCGTCAAGGCTCATTTGTTGCAAAAACTGCAGTGGAAGATATTGTGAAGTACAAGGAGGATGGTGATCCCATCAAGAGGCTAAGGAGAAGATAGTTACGGTGCATTCACAGAAGATAGCTAGTAGAAGATTTTGGAATGATCAGGGTACGCTAGTAAAGGAGCTTGGTGGGTTTGTAGTGGAGATTGATAATGTAAAATCAGAGTATGTAAAGTCCTTTGAATTTGACGCTAAGTTGATGCCATTCACATGGGTTGTGGTCAGAATTGATGGGTGTCATTTCCACAAGCTTTCTGAAACACATGAATTTGTGAAGCCTAATGATGAGAGAGCTCTCAGGTTAATGAACTCAAGTGCAATGGCTGTGTTAGAAGAGTTTCAGCCGGATGTAGTATTTGCCTATGGAGTTGGCGATGAGCATAGCTTTATTTTGAAACAAAGTACGAATCTATATCAAAGGAGAGCCAGTGAAATTGTTTCTGCTGTGGTTTCATTCTTCACATCTATGTATGTAATGAGGTGGAAAGACTTTTTCGAGGAGAAAGAATTGAAATACACTCCTCCTTTTGATGGAAGAGCAGTGTGCTATCCATCAAGAGAGATTATCTGTGACTATCTTTCGTGGAGGCAGGTGGACTGCCACATCAACAATCAGTATAACTCTTGTTTCTGGAAGCTTGTTGCTTTGGGGAAAAGCAAGAAAGATGCCCAGAATAGTTTGAAAGGAGCTCAGTTACAAAAAAGACTTGAGGAATTGGAAACTGACTATAATAGTTTGCCCATCTTGTTCAGACAAGGATCCTCAGTTTTCTGGAACAAAGGAGGCAAGTTTCCCGAGCATCAAGAGAATGATGATTCTCGTGAGAGTCATAGAAAAGTCATTGTAGAACACTGTGATATCATTGGATCAGGGTTTTGGCTAGAGCACCCAAACATCCTTGATGGGAAGTAACACATGCTGTGAGACTATTCTTCCTAAATATAATTGTCAAAACCATGGCCCAATGATAGGGCAATGGGTCGCTCATCAAGAAAAGAAAGCAATTGCGTTCGTCAATGAATAATTTTTTTTATTTGGCAACTGGTTCAATGAATGAATGAGCAGTGAAAAAACCATACTCCATGTGGGACGCACCAAGTAAGACGAGGAAATAATCCCCCGACATTACAAATCATTGATCCAGATTCATGTAAAAGTTTGCATGCAAAGATTGAAGGAGGCATTTATTACAAATTTTTGCGGTGTTTACATTTACTTTTGATCATTCGTCTACGTTATGAGAGTTATTATTTCCTTTTAGCCCATTGTAAATGCCAACTCAGATAATAAAAGTATCAATAGGGGTTTAAGGGTTTGAAGTACCATCATGATCTAATAAAAAAATAGTTGCTAGTAGCTAGTTTTGATAATTTCAAGCAGCCCTAATTGAATAACTAAAATGTATTCAAAAAATGTTTATTGAAAATTAAATAATAGGCATTAAAAATATCTCCAACCTCTGAACAATAAACAATTCCTCTCCCTGAACGCATGTTTGTATGTACACGCATATTTGCAGTTCTTCTGGCTGGGACGGTGATATACTATTATTGTATCTAGTACCATTCACTAAACATTTATTAGCACAGCTAACTCTACATCTCTGACACATTGTATCATGTTTGATTAGTTAGTTTTGGCCTATCATCAATGGTTAATTCCACCTTCTTGCAATTTGATATGCATAAAATTAGTGAATACGATAAATAAGCTGCAATTATTGTCCTAAACGACCTAACTCTATTTAAATTAGCAGGCTTTTGCACGTAATAATCTCGTTGATTTGAACAACCTCGAGTGCATGCGGCTGTAATTTAACCAAATAAATTATATGATCCTAAGTTTGTGGACATAATGCTCTGTCTGAGACAGATTCTTAACCAAGGCTTACGCAAATGGTGTCACTATCTTATGGCAATTTGCACCAAAATTATGAATCAACTTCTAAATATGTCACAGTCTACAAAACCTAAGCTTTAAACTTTCCTTTTTCCTGAGCTTCAGGATGGAAAATTTATAGCTGTGGATGAGATCATTCGTGTTAATTAAACAATAGAGTTTGACACATCTCATGCAGGCTCTTCTGAGCAGATAGAAACAAGTTAAAAGCCTATGTTTTCTAAGGAAGTTTGTATTTGATACAGGTGTTTATTTTTCATATGAGGGATAATATACATTCAACATATAATTTATTTTTATTTCCTAATATTTTATTTATTGTCTGATTTATTAAAATACTGATAAGTACTGATCATGCCCTCCTATAAATATTGCTTTCAAAGTGGTCTTCATCTGCACATCTTCATCTCAGAATATGGCCATTTTATTGAAGAAACCATCAGGTTATTCAAAGATGGAGAAGGAAGAACCAGAAGAGAGAATCCACAGAAGAGCCCAGTTCTTGATCTACAAGGCCTTGGAGCGAGCAGATTCTCAGAGCAAGGCTTTGTCATGTTTGGGAGTCAGAATCTCAAAGATCAAAGTCAAGATTGGGAGCAGAATGAGGAGGATGAGGAAGAGGATTGTGCTTCACTTGAAATCCTGGAAGCGATTGTTCGGACGAAGAAGATGAGCCTTCCTCCTCTGTTCAACTCATATGTCACCACAATTATGGGGAATTGGCGTGCGTTGTAGTTCATGGTGTACATGCCCAACCCCCCCCCCCCCCTTTTTTCCCTTCCCAAAACTTGCTCGGATTCGAGCATGGTTATATTCAATTTGGGAGTAGCTCTCTAAAAGATGTTTTTTGACATTTCACGCGAACTTGAATTCAAGACATCGTGCTTAAACAATAATAGCTCATTCTACTGAAACCAACACCTGTTGGTTGGTGTGCATGTTCTTTACTTCTCCAAGACTTAAGCTTTCGAAAAAGAAACTTGCTATAGTTATGTCCTCTAGGAATTTAGAGCTTTTTTTTTTTTTTTGAAGAAGGAGAAGGATGAAATCTTATATTAGCTCAGAATAATTATTTACGTCAAAAAGGGCGCCAACCCCATATATAAGGTGTCACATTAAGTCAAGATCAGAAGAATGAACTAGACACAACCTAGATCTTTTAGTTAAAACCCTAGCATACTTGTTTCTGCTTATAAAAAGATGCTTCCACTTGGCTTGTAAATCATCTGCAATCGTACAACAAATATGGATACTATCTAGAGAGTATAGCTACTTCGCTCTCTCTCTTTTGGTTATATTTAAGTTATGGGTATTAATCTCTGTCGTATTTATTTTTTATTTATAAAAATATCAATTTATAATATAATAAAAAGGGAAATCACAACATAAATGTTGCCAAAATATTAGAAGGAATTTAGAAATTAGCTAACAAGTTCTCATTAGAAATACAAATACAGACAAGGCAAAAAGAACATAATAGGGAAACAATGTCCTGCTTAATAACTTCAAGATTGTTTTTCATGAAAACGAGATAAACCAGCACAAAATATAAAGATTAGAGTAGAACTTTGAATATTATAGGGAAAAATATAACTTTAGATCTTAATATTTTACTCACATTTTATTATTAATTCCTACACTTTTTTTCAATGTTTTTGATCCATGTACTTTTTTTTTTTTTTAAATCCCTCCTAAGTTCTTCTACATTATTTCTGAAGGGGCCTAAAATAATAAAAAATAAAAGTACAAGGACCAAAAACACCAAAAAAAAAACTTACTATGACCAATAACAAAATGCAAACAAATTATAAACTATAGAGATATAAAGTTATGTTTTCTTATATTATATTCATTGACTATACAGTATAAGATCATGCCAAGGCAAGCTGAATTGAAGCATTATGAGTCATCTTTATGTTTTGTTATCACACTTGTTGAATTATTGGCACTATTTTATTAGTTTATTAGATATGCCGGATGATTTGTGATGGGATGAATCTTTGATTTACAAGTTTAAAATTCCAGAAGTCGTGATATGCTAAGATTTCATTATCATTTGCCCCTTTAGTGGGATAACAGGATTGCATCTAGCACAATTTGTCTTCAATTACTTGTGCAGATTGGCCATATCCTAAAAATAAGCACCCTTGTGCGGAAGCAACAAATCAAATTATGCAACGTTTTTTTTTTCGGCCTAAACATGCTAATACTCTGTATTTGGGGAAAAAAAAGAAGTCTTTTGATCTGGATAAAAAGGCAAGAGCAAGACTTGAATCCTGAAATCATGAAATGAATGCACAACCCCAAAAAATGCTGAAATGAATCTGAATTTCAGATTCAACTGTTCTGTATTATTAAATGAAATCCGAAATAAATTCTCTCCTCAATAACCAGTGACCACTTCCCAGCAGTAAATGCGTACAATCAGTAGCTGGAAACAGTTGTAGATAGGCACTTTCAATGCTATCCACAATTTCACAAATGTGCTTGGTCGGCCACAACTAAATCCTGCATGACATTCCCTTGACTAACACATGCAAGTCTTTTAACCTCTAGGAGGTAATGCATTTGGTCTCCCAATAGACTTCACTTCCCATAAAGAAATTTACACTTGTCCACAAACAATCCTAAAGACATGACATGTGATCCTTAAAACATGAGTTTCTTTCTTCTAGGTAGCACTTAAGCAGTAAATTCTTAAATGCATCGACGTGGGAGAATACATGTTGAGAGAATTTAACCTGAACAAAATCTTACAACACCTCTGACCAAGAACCAATCAGTCCAGATCCTCTAGAGAGGACAAAAGTAAATGAGAGGTAGAGACCAGTAAGAAAAAACGTAAATGAGTGTAATTATGATATGTAGGCCCTATACGTATTCGCATTTTGCTGATGATCCAATTTAAATGACCAATACACTTAGAAAACTTTAACCATCTCCTGTCTCCTTTGAAGGGGCTAGATCAAATTCATGGATATGAAATAATTTGTAAGCTCATTGAGATATTGCACTTCACAAGATGGCAATAATACTTAATAGACGCTTAAAAAAGCTTCTTCCACTGCAATACAGGTTTGCATCTCAATTTCAACAAGCTACTGTATAACCTATAATCTCCTAAGCTTCCTATACACAATTTTATTACACAAGCATGCAAGAATCATGAATTAACGATATCGGAAACAGACCTCTTTGCCCTGCGGACTAATTTTCTATTACCAAAACCTATCAGAGTTGGATGACAATTAACCTTTGGATTAAGACTCACCCAAAAATAACTGTAGTTGAACGACTAAGAAGGCTGCATTAAGAAGAAAACCCATGTAATTAGCCGAGTGTCATAAGGAGCAGGGAGAAAGCGAAAAGCATAGGACACAGCACATAATCACTTTGGAGGCCTGCAAAAACACAAAAATAAGTCAAGCAGGCATGGAAAAAACAAGACCACTGAACTCTGTCTGTATCAAGATCTGGTCTTAATAAAAAGGCTAAATTCACATTTTTGGTCTTTAAATCATCACTTATTTCAGTTTAGTTCCTTGAAAAAAAAAATGTAATTGAGTCCTGGAATCATTTGGGTTTGATTTAGTCATTTTGATAGCTCACCAAAAGATTATTGATTTTAAAATCAGGGAAATGAAGGACTCACTTGTACATCGTCGTTTCCGGGACAAAACTCAAATTAGTGCTATCTTCCAAAGACCAAACTGTGAATTTAGACCAGTGACCAGGCCAGCTTACAATTCCAATCTTAATTTGTATTTTCTTTAAGATCTATAATACCATACAATTGATTATAAGATTTGAAATATTCAGGGCTTATCAATTCAAAAAGAAGAAGAAATATTCAGGACTTCAAACAAGCAAATGCTTCAGGAAGAGCTATGTTTAAGGACTTCTATTAGATTGCTGAATAAATAATTGGTTGACAAGGTGCTCTTACAACTTTGACCATTTGCTGCTGCAGGAAGGGCAGGAATGTTGACAGCTGTAGATCCAAAAAAGTAAAATTAACAAATTAATTAAAACAAATTACAGAAAATTATGAAATAATTTAAACTCCTCCAGAAAGTTGTGAAATAATTATAACTCCTCCAAGAAGACTTCTCCGTGTCTACTCCTCTCTCCCTCTCTAAAGGGGAATAAAACCAACCAGAAAAAGTATCTATACTTTCAATGTCTTAAACATACTTTTATTACATGCTGAAGTCGCCACTTGTGATGCAGAAGGCCAAGGCGCTGGAATATTGTCATTTAGATCACAATTGAAGCTAATCCCAGTCGTATCTAACGTTAAATCTGAAGGCAAGCTAGGTAGCAAACAACCAGCCTCTGTTTGGGGAAAAAAATTGAATACTTCAATCACTTTGCCAACACATGTAATATTGCATTATAATTCGAATATGTTACCTTGAGTATTAACTGAAACATCCACATGGTTGACTTCCACATCATGTTGAATTGGTAGAATGAAAAGAGGAAAAAAAACAGGACCATTAGATGAAAATACACGCGCGCATATAAGAATTGAGTCTTTCTGTTTTGCTAGTCAACTGAAATAGGGAGCTAAAACTAACCTTGAAGCGAGAAATCCTTGAGACTTACATGACAGAGACTATAAACATCTTTGGTAATGTTTGATTTTTGTAGTTTCATAGCCAGAGCCTCTGCACAATCCAAAGCTTGTAAATTTGTGATGAAACTCTGCCTTTGCAAGTGAGACACATACACTTCCATGGCATCACAGCAGGATGTCTTGTTTTTTACCCCATCTCTACAAGCCTCAGCGACATGTCTCATGTCAGGCAAAACCAGTGGGCAAACTGCGGCAGAAGCCAGTATAAGATCAAAGTGAAGGAATTCAGTACTACAGGGAGCTGAACTCTCCATACAATAACATTCATAACTCATAATGGCATTGAAAGCAGTAATAAGACCAATTGAAACTATTTAATGAGCCAGCCGGTATCTACCAAAATCACAAAATGATGACCATTGTGCATATGCTTAAAGCAGACAGAAAAAGACAATCAGCCGAAACGTAACAATCCACAAGCACAAGTGAATGATGACACCCCACTAACAATCTTTCTCTAGATGCTGATCTCATATGTTTTCAAAAGTCAATGGCGTACTCAAATTACACCTTTTGTTTGGAGAATCCACCCCAACTCAAAATCTATATAATCTTTAGCGTATCAACATGACATAACACTCTGTTCTAGCTCACCTTTGTTAACGTTGCAATTAGATAGTCCTCTCAGAATCTTCTTAGAATTAGAAGGATCAAGCTCACTAGCAAGCCACCGCAGCACAATACTTTGACAATCATTGATCCGAGTAGAGTGCTCAGGTAGGACATGTGGCCCATTTAAGCCCAAAAGATCAGAACCTTTCGATGCAATTTTTGTAGCTGCTTCTAATATAGCATTCTGACAAATTTGATCACAGCATTCTTTAATGGGATCAATTTTCTCACAAGCAACAAGAAGCTTAGACGTATCCACTACGTCATGAAACTCATTTACGTCTTTGACTGGGCAAGATGCCTCAGTGAGATTTAAAGAATGAATTGAACACATCTGTGTCAAACTGTGATTGGCACCTTGGGCAATCAAAATCTGTTTCACATCTGATAGGCAATGTTTAGCAAGAGTCCTATTTAAGGCAAGCATGTCTGAATACTTGCTAGATTGCCCAATGAGAATAGTGAGAGTGGCTTCCAGCTGGGGACAACATATTACATTAGCTACAAGTGGTGCAAAACTTTCCCAGCAATCAATTGCTGTCACACTCATCAAACTTTCAGCAGCAGTGAAGTTCAAAGTGCAAAACCCTACAACAGACAGTCACATATAAAGCAACAAGAGATAGGTAATCAAATGCAAGATGCAACAGAAATTTCCATTCAAGTCTTAGAATTCCAAAATACCACTGCAGAATTTAGAAAAGAACCTGATAATTTTGGGATGGAGGTATTGGTGAATGGAACTAATGGTGAAGGAGCAAGGAGAGGAAGAAGAGGCTGCGGAGCACCAAGAGGTGGGATTTTAGAGATCATGGAACCCACATGGCTATCCAATTGTATAGGATCTTCACTACGATCTAAGATAATGCCATGCAGCTCATGGGCACCTGTACCAAACATGAGTAAGGGGGGGGGGGGAAAATCTCTCTCTCTCTCTCTCTCTCTCACGTCTAATCCTCAAGGGCAATTTGGCAAGGAAAAATAACTTACAAAGAATCATAAACTCATTTGTAGAGAGTCATACATGTTTATATTCTCTGCCGTCTTAGAGTTACAAAATAATACAAGCCATGAATTAAAAGCTGAATTTTGCGAACAACAGAGCGTCAGAACATAGCTTATAGGCAAAGGGACAAGCAAAATTCCACTTGAATTAAATCATAGATATTAGTCTCTTCGGCATAGATAAATATCATCAACTCATTTGTAATTAATTCTCACAAATACAACCTTCCAGATAATGGTTTGTTTTTCTATTTCAATGGTTCATGTGCCAACCCAATTAAACCTTCCAATGGCCAGATGAGAGAGATATATAGTGATAAGTTTATGTTTTAAACAGCACAAAACACAATGCTTAAATATAATTGACACTGTAACTTCTTCGATATGAGATCTATGGGAATAAATTGCCAGAAGAAGACTTCACTGAGCTGAAGCAGAGGACAAAATGATAAGGCTAAACTGTTCACGCTCAAACTCTAGAACAGCTAAAAGCCATCATTAAAACAGAGGCCCTAATTGATTTAGCGGTGAAGTTTTGGAGGAAAAGGGGGTGCCGTCGGGTAATCACTACTAAGTTTTCAAACTCATGGCCCGGCTCTGCCATTCATGAATTTGTTTTGGCTGGTACTCTGGAAGATGAACTCTGCACAAGAAGGCTAGATCAAGAAAGCCACCTTGTAATGCGATAGTGGTCAGTTCAAATGTTCAGTACTGCAACAGCTTTGCCTAAGACCTGCCATTCACAATGCTGCTTATTCGCATAGCTTATGTTAATGAAAACTAGTTCTCAACTTAATTTAAGTGAGCATGGGCAACCATATCGTCAGTCAGTAGTGATAGCAGCTAAGTTAAAACCAAGAATGAATATTAAGATCTCTCACTTGATATGTTGATAAGGCGAAGCTACAGACAAAGAAGTGTTCTCGACTGTTTGGGAAAACGATGTTCCAAACCCTAACTCTGCTTACTCCTAAACAATCCCACTTTACCATGTTCAACATTAGATGACGGCATGGAAAAATCCGAATCCACAAATTGAATTAAACAACGGTTTAAAAATGCAAGTGAGTAGAGTTCAACTTTAAGTAACTCGAAATAAATGATATTTCATCAAGGAGCTCCAGACACATACTCATGCTGAGCCTTTCTAAGAAAGAAAACTAAAGAAACACTAATCTTCCCAACAGAAACAAAAACACATCTCTTGAATTTTCGCCAAAACACAGCAACACAAAGATGGCCCAACACTTCAGAAATCTTACAAATTACGAGAATTTGAAGAAAACCCAGCAACCAAGCCAGAATTCAAGCGTAAAGCACCTACCGGTAGCCAGAAGAAACAGCTGCACGAGAATGAAGTGATTGAAACTAAGCTTAAGCAACACCATTTCCTTCATGCCCACCCCTTGACAAAACCCACAAGGGGAAACCAAACCACTCAGCAAGTTAACGCAAAATCAAAGAGTAGGTTCCCAACAAACAAAAACTTGTGAAAATGCAAATGGCATTGAAGATGATTTAGAAGTGGGTGTAGGAAAGAAAAGGAGGGAAAAAGGAAGAGAGCAAGCACAGAGAAGCCATGAATGAGGGGATTCAAAGTTGGTGGGGATTATGGCAGGCTCAGTAATAGCTGTCTCTGCACAGATTGAGAGAGAGAGTAGACCCCACCATAAAAATGAACTCAGATGGGGGCTGCGCTACCCGCATTAACGCCATCAACACCTTTCCGCGATGCTGGAAAACTACCACCGCCTTATGCCAGCGATTATTTTGCACGCGTGTGACACGCTTGAAGAGACTCGTACGTGTAGTTCACGTTTCAAGGCTTTTGAAAGTCAAACAGTGAAAACAACTGCACAATTGTAAACGGGTTTTCGTTTTCCGTTTTGGCGGTAACTAAGAGGAAAGCCGTCGATGACGGCGATTCGCGGCATCAGAGTTCAGCTTCACAGTTTGTTTTAGAAATGGACTCGCTTCCATGAGAACCTCGCATGAATTTGTATTTATATTTAATATATATACACACTTTTTATTTTAAATTATAAAACATTTTTATATAAAATTTTATATTTCTTTCATTTAAAAATATAAAATATTTTTTAAATAATTAAATGTAAAAAAATGTGAAGCATTTTTATTTTTTTAAAAGTGTAATCATTATTTTTTTTTAAAGTATCATTATTAATAATAATTTTTTATTTATTGTAAGATATTAATAAAAATAAATATAAAAAAAGATTAGTTTGAAAGTAGATAATTATTTTATTAAGAGTAAAATTTAATTAAAAATACCTTACATTTTTTAACAGAGAGAGTATATCAATAAATTTTATTAAAATACTTAAAAATTTTATTCTTAAAATAAAAATATAAACTTTTAAAAAATACTTCATTTACTATATTTTAAAGAAAAAATAACCAAAATTAAATATAAATAAAAGAGTAATATTAAATAAGCATATTTAATAAAACATTAATCTTTTTAAAAAGTTTAATTGCTTTAAAAGTATTTTATAATTTAGGATGGAAGGAGTATTATGATAACAATAATATTATTTTTGGTGAGATAAATAATACTAATATTTTTATGCGCTATAATATATTGATTAATATGGATATAATTTACATGAAACATTTAAAATTATTTTTTAAAATAATATAATGAATAAAAAAATAGAAAAATAATTTAATTTTAAAAGTGACTAATAAAATGAATAACCAATTTTATAAGAAGAATAAATGTCCCGTTGAGGACATCAATAAAAGTGGAATCACAAAGGAGAATAGATAATTTAGATGGCTTATTGGTACAGTCTCATTTTATAATATTAACAGCTTTTAAAATAAATAATTTAGTTACCAATTAATCAATAATATAAATATAATAATATCATATATTCAAATATCATGAGTCCCAATACAAAACAAATTGAGCTGATAAGTCCAGCCAGACACAGCTGCAGACAAAACAAGTGATTTTTTTTTTTTTTGGTTAAAGTGTAGTCTATTTAGTATTTTAATTTTATATAAAAATTTATTTTAATCTCTTAATTTTATAAAGTATTTTTTTATTTTTTACCCTTAACACCATTAGTTTCATCCCAAAAAAATTATATATTAAACTTTAAAATACTAACAAAATATTCTCACATATTGACATATTAAGTTTAATTTTTTTAAAAAAAAGTAATAATGATTGGCACAAAAAATAATCATTTAAAACTAAAGATATTAAGGTTAGATGATTGAAAAGATTTTTCTTAAAATTAAAAAATTAAATTAAAATTTATATAAAATTAAATAACTAAAAATACACTTTAACTTTTTCACCCCTTTTGGGGTCAAGGACAGACCCAAACTATAAACTTCCCATTTTGAGTTATTTTAAAACTTATATTAAGCCATGTTAATTGAAAAATAAAAGATGAACTAGCATGGCAGCATATAGCATTGTCATAAAAACATTATATTTTTTTCTCAAAAAAATAAATTTTTACATAAAGACTAGCCTAGCCGCATGCGAGAATATTCTAGTATTTTTAAAACAACCATTCATTGCTGCTTCTTAAATACGACAGGGGTGTCTGTGAATTACTGGTTAGTGGAAAAGATGATGTTTTCGACTTTGGTTTCTCATACTGTTTTTGGTTTCTGGTATCCTCGTGCTTGTGGCTCACACTTCTCCCATGTCATATATAATATCTCGCAAGGCTGGCTTTTGTTTCATTTATTATTTTTTTCAATAAAATTTATTTTTATTTCAAGGGTATCGTTTCATTTGATCCTATCTCATGTAAATTTAATACTTCACTTTAAGTTGAGCATTCTCATCATTCTTTAAAATTCAAGTAGTTAAAATATTTCATTTCATAAATCATGCTCTTAATCATACAGCTTGAGTTTAATTTCGAAACAACTCAGTTCTTACATATAACATTAATGCTTTGGAATGGGAAAATTAAGAATATTAAACTCGCTAAATGATAGTAAAACATATCATTTAGAGAAGTAAATGGACTTACATTGCAAGACATGAAGAAAAATATGCAGAACAGAGAAAAAAAATATGCAGAACATGAAAGACAGCTTGCTTTTGCCATGTGACATTGCTGCATGTGTTATTTCAAATAAGTCAATTCTTACAGAGTTAAAAATATGCCGTGAATTTTTCTTCAGCTTGTTATCTCATCTAAGGGTATTCATAAATTCAATTTGCTTTGATTTTGAGAAAAAATTAGATCGAACCAAATAAATTAGTTCACCATAGTTTGAGACTTATTCACTTTGACTCTCCTTTTATTCAGTAGTGGTTTATCTTATTTTTCAAGTGACTTGGATAAATTCCCAACTAACATCAACAATATTCATATGCTACGATAATGCTTTCAGCAATAAAGGCACTTTATTTTGTAAGTGGTCTAATTATAGCAAGCATAATATTTGATAAGTCAATAGATTGATATTCTTGAGTGAAGTTAACATCTTGAAACATTTCACAAGTGAGTTTCTAAAATTGTAGAAAATAATTGTTCCCAAGTGAAGTTTCATATATTCCCAATGGATTAATAATATTCTCATGTCACGATAGTGATTTCAATAGCAAAGAAACTTTATTTTTCAAGCAGTCTAATCATAACAAACATGAAATTTGAGAAGTCATTCGATTAATATTCTTGAGTTAAGTTAGCAAATTTTCAGGTCACCTTCATATATTTATACGTGACCTCGAAAAGTTTCAAAGGTGAGCTTCTGAAATACTAAAAAATAATATATTCCTAAGTGGGATTCTATATATCCTAATGGACATTAACAATATTCTCATGTCACATTAGTGACTTCAGCAGTAAAGACACTTTATTTTTTAAGTGGCCTAACTACACATTAATAAGCATGAAATTGACGAGTCAATGGATTAATATTCTTGAGTAAAGTTAGCATATTCCAAGTCACCTTCATATATTCATATATGACTTTGGAAAGTTTTAAAAGTGAGCGTTTGAAATATCAGCAAGCAATATATTTCCAAGCAGGATCCCATGTATTCCTAACAAACATTAACAATAGTCTCATACCATATTAGTGATTTTAGCAGTGTTAATTATTAAAACAAATATACTAGCACGTATTTAAACTCGAAACAAACATAAAGACCACATTACACTAATTCCAATATATACATACTACATTTGCACATTTTTTTAACATAAAAAATATCTCGTATAGTTCAATGGTAGCTGTACAGTTTGCTTTTCAAAAAACTTCTTAGAATACAAACATATTTACATAACTTGTTACTACTATGAGTAAAAAAATATGATATAGTTGTCCATACGAAAAATCATTTAATAGCAAAACACAATAGATAAGTAAAAACTAAATGCATTTCAATTTCAAACAAATTAATTTGCATTTGGCTTTCACTCTTTTTCAATCTGTACATTAGATTTAGGATTCTTACATCTATTCTTTGTATGTCTAGCTTAATTACATCTTGAGCAATGATACACCCTTTTGTTATGAAACTGTGACTTTCTTTACTTGGTGTGTGGCCATCTTGAGTGACATGCAGTTGTATGGGAAATAAACTTGGAACAACTGGAAGTAATATATAAATTTATTACTTCACAACTACCTTCCAACAATTCCAACTATAACTTTAACAATTTAGCATTTATGTCACATCTTTTAATAGTACCACACTTTTCATCACAGAAAAAAAATTTGCTGTATAACGATAATAAATAATGTAGTTATTTCTTTCATTCAATTTTTTCAATACTATCTCTATCGGAAATTACAATGCTCTCTCTTTTTTTCTTGTGTGCATATATATAACTATCAACAAGATTACTTTTTTTCCCTAGCTATACAAGAGAAACGATGTAAAATAGAGCATGTATCCCATATACCACAGACAATCACAATGGTCTAATAACAAAGATAGAGAAAACGAAAATATAAAAGTCAAGAAATAGAAGCAATTTACATGCTTATAAATTAACAAGAGGGGAGAAGATGATACACCTAGATAATGATTCACTCCACTAGATACTAAGATTGAAGGAGATGAGAGTAGCAAGCAAAGAGTAGAGCACGGGAGGAGAGGATTTCTCGCACACAAATAATATGTTGTTACATTTCATTGTTTAGTAGAAGGTAATTTTATAAAGTTATGTATTTTTTATTTTAAGTAAGAAGTATGATTTTTTTTATTAATATTTTAATATTTTATAATTTTTAATTGAAATTAATGATTTTAAAAAGTCTTTCATTGATATTTTTTTTATGATTTGTTTTCTTTTGGTGTGCCAACGATGAGATTGTTTCGTGAAGTCCAAGCATTCATTGGATTGGGCTCCTTCACTTTTGGACTATTCTTACTGTTGATGCATGTGTCAATTAAATATTGCATTACTTAGCTCCTCTGCTAATATCACACACACATACAGTTGTTAGATGTTATTAAAAAAAAAACTATATCTTTTTAAATTTTATCATCAAAATTGTTATATGATATGCTCCCCATTTATATATTTATTGATCATTTCTAACATATTTAATCAAAATTAAAGAAACCTTTAAATTTGTCAACTATATTTAGAAAATTAATAAACTTTATACTTATTAAATATATATATTTTAATATTCTCTCTGTTAAAAAATGAAAGATATTTTTTAAGGGATTGAATGTTAAAAATTATAAGATATTTTTTAGTCGTTTAAAGTGTAAGCATTATTTTTTTTAAAGTGTCCCTATTAATGAATAACTTTATATTTATTG